GCGAGAAAGAGTTCAAAAAATGATGACAGTTTCGAATGCACCTCTTTCGAGATCCAAGTTTCGATAAATTTCCATTTTCTACAGACAGTTTACAGCTGTCCATTTCCAACGAGCGAGAAATAGTGTGGCTTGTCAATTTTGTTGCAGCTCATAGAGGTTAAATTACACTCATTGGCAGTAGAAAGACCAGAAACTCGTTTCTCGAATCAAACGAAATTTAATACATCGCAGTATCAGAGAATTTAATTGTAAGCTTGGCTCGTAGCTCAATTAATTACAAATGGCGGATTGGACAAATTCCAAATATTTCTCCAGGTAAACCTAAATTATTATCGGGCAAAAGAGATGAACATCGAGTTCGTGTCAGATTGAGAAAACACGAAGATGTGAAAAAAAAAGGGAATTGTTGTGAAGCCATTTTGAATCGTTGGTCAGAGAATAACTAGTTAGTTGGAAATTAATTCCACGCTTCATTTGTATATATATATATATATATATATATATATATATATACACACACATCATGTGCACACTTTACGATATACAGGGTAATTCGCGTAATTTGCACACCTGAAATAACTTTCGAATGAATCCAATGAAAAACAGTTTGATACAAAGATTGTATCCCCAGGTCATTTTCTTTATCTTCCTCTTTTTCCCCCTCAATTAGACCATATTATATTTTTTCCATCGTAAATCGAAAGAATATTAAATTCCAAGTAAAAAAGTATTAAATCACATTGATCGTACACCTAATGATTAAGGAGATATCTAACCATAATTTGTCCTCGAAGGATTACCTAACCTACATGATGACGCACAAAATGGCGTCCACAGCCATACGCAGTTGGATCTCGATTTTTTTTCTTTTAAATGAGATGACCTGCTTTCGACTCGCGGCTCGCTTCGTAGAAAAACGAGAAACGGAGCAAAGCAAAAAGGGAAAAGAAGAAATGAAGGAAAAGAAGGAACGAAAAGGCACGATTATTATTTCCTGGAGCTTGGTGAAACTAATTAACGAAACCAGTCAACGTCGGTTGGTCGGTATATCCGGCCTCGATTTCAATAATTGGCAACGAGCGAATAAAAATGAAACCGATTGGTCGATCGATCGACCGAATACGACAAGTCGAAAAAAGAGAACGAGCCAGTGAAATGCTTCGACAACGTATCCCATTCTGTTCGCATCAGTTCCCAGGCACTTGCTCGGTCGTTTTATATTTCATATTGTACGCGGAGAACCGCAAAATCCGTGAGCGCTCGTCTCTTCATTGGGAAACAGTTAGAGACGAGGAATACGCTCGTTATTATACGCTTTTGTCGTCGCTTCGTACGCGGAATGGCGGATTGGATTGATCGGAGCGAAGCTTTCAAGGAAAGAGTGTATTGTTGCGCGATATTATGGAACATCGTTGGGTTCGTGGAAAGCGAACAATTTAAAGAACAAAAAAGATTTGAAAAATATGATAATTCAATCGGCATTTCAAATCGATTGTACACGCTGCCGTGTTGCATGAGTGCTCAGTTAAGCGTCCACGGTCGCTTAACCCATTCACGCGGCAGTCATTATGTATATTTAGTGGACAGAATGCACCTGGGCAATGATTCAAAAAACGATGACTAGATGATACAGATG